TGAAGCTGCTGGATCATATGGTAATTCTAAATTTAATCTTTTTTTTTTTTTTGAGGAACAAACATGCTATTTTCCACACCAGCTACATCATTTCACGTTCCCATTAGCAATACACAAGAGTTTCCATTTCTCCACATCGAAGCCAACACTTGTTTTACATCTTTTTACCAACAGCCATCTTAAGGGATGTGAGGTGGTTATTTCATCATGGTTTTGATGAAATGGATTTTTGTTTAAGGATAAGCTGATTCAGCCTGCTCTACAGCATTTTACCAAGTTAATTTTCTTTTCTTTTTTTTTAAAGAGAGAGAAAGAGAGAGAGAGAGAATTTTTAATATTTATTTTTTTTTTTAGTTTTCAGCAGACACAACATCTTTGTATGTGGTGCTGAGGATCGAACCCGGGCCGCATTCATGCCAGGCGAGCATGCTACCGCTTGAGCCACATCCCCAGCCCCCAAGTTAATTTTCTAATTATTAAAAGACTCCAGCAAGTACCTGAGCACCCAACTTTGCCAAGGCTGTCTCCGGGAAGCTTGTTCCAGGACAGCCATTGACCCTTGTCCATCAGCTCTCTTGCATAGCCTGACAACCAGCCCCTCCTCCCAGCAACCAGCCTCTGCTCGCTATCATTATGAAAGTTATTAAAACCAAGATGATTGTTCTTGTCATACCCAGACAGAACTGGAGCCAGGAAGGGAGGGCCCATGCCTGCTTATATAAGATAAGTACCCTCTCAAGAACTTTCTAAAGCCCCACCATAGATTTTCTCTAGTTCTATACACACCCATCCATCTCATGCACTCCTTGCAGATTTCTGCAATGAAGTTTATCTTTAGCATTGTTTAAGACAACGTTTCGGACAAGATGCTCTGGATAGAACGCTTGCCAACAAGGGCACCTCAAACCCAACAAGCTATTGCCAATTCCTGTTTCAGGTCTCCAAAACCAACAAATTTTGTATCCATATATCATATGTAAAAGTTTCCCTTTTCACCTTTAAAAATTTCCCTTTGCCTCATCCTCTTTGAATTAACTCAGTTCACTATAGCATGTGTATTCCCATGAACTAATATTTCTAAATAAATACTGTTAATCTTTGAGATATTCTTTGGAGAATCTTTGTTATTTAGAATGTGTTATGCTTGGATCTTAAATGTCCCCCAAAAGCCCATATGTTAAAGAATTGGTCACCAGTCTTTGATGCTATTAGGAGGTGGTGGAATTTTTTAATATGTAGGGCCCAGTGGAAGGAAATTAGGTCATGGAAGCGTTTATGCTCTTGAAGGGAATATTGGGACCCTGGGCTTATCTTCTCTGTTCACTTCTTAGCCACCAGAAGTAAACAGACTTCCTTTGCCATGCACTTGCACTGCTATGATATACTGTGCCACCAAGGCCAAAAACAACCAGGCCAAACAACCAGGGACTAAAGCCTCTGAAACTGTGAGCCCAGATAAACTTTTTCCTTTAAGATGTTTATCTCAGGTATTATCCACAGCAACAGAAAGCTAACACAGATTGATAGTACAAATGCCTTCCCATCTAGTGGTTACTGGTTTCTCTTAGGGAAGCCCTGCTTCCATGGGGTTCCAAAACTGGACATTCTGTACAGCTGGCATTCCATAACCTCAGATTCTATACCCACAGAGTCAAACAACTGCAGGTGAAAAATATTCTTTAAAAAATAAGGTGGCCAAGCGTGGTGGCGCACGCCTATAATCCTAGTAGCTTGGGAGGCTGAGGCAGGAGGATTGAGAGTTCAAAGCCAGCCTCAGCAACTTAGCAAGGCTCTGAGCAACTCAGTGAGACCCCATCTCTAAATAAAATACAAAAAAGAGCTGGGGATGTGCCCCAGTGGTTAAGTGCCCCTTGGTTTAATCCCTGGCACCAAATAAGTAAATAAATAAATAAGGGGCCTGGGGTCTTAGCTCAGTATGCCTAGCATGCCCGACACCCTGAGTTCAATTCCCAGCATTGAACACATACAAACCTCCCTCTTTGTCATTATTCCCCTGAACAATACAGGGTAACAACTATTTACACAGTATTTACATTGTATTAGTTATTATAAGTCATCTATCATGATTTAAAGTATGCTGAAGGATTCTATAGGTTATATGCAATACTGTACCATTATAAAATGAGGGGTTTGAGCACCTGCAGATTTTGGTACCTGCGGGCATCCTAGAACCAAAGCCAGGAATACCTTGAAAGACAAATATACTGAATGACCTGGACCCGCACTCCCCTTGACCAGCTCCAGCTTGCTGACACGTCATTCAAAGACACAGCAAGGAAGCTAGATGGTCCCATCCTGAGCCTGTATTGCAGAGTGCACTCCCTTGTCTACCCAAGTTGCATTTGGTTGATTCACTGGGAAGGTCCTTAAAAAAGTAAGATTGAAAGCCAGTCACAATGGAAGTCAAGCCCCAAACCTTCCAACAGATGGACTACAACCAGAATTTGGCTCTCCTAAATCTGAGACTGTCTGGAAATGCCACCAACAGGCAATTCATTTAAGGTTTAAACTTTCAGTGAGACATAGCTTTTTACAGTGTAAGAAACCATAGGTCAGGTCTCCCTTCACCTAATAACTTGATTCTCTATTTCTTGTGTTATCTCCTTTTTCCTACCTCCTTCTCCATTTCAGTTCTTTCCTAGTGGTCAACTCTGCTGCTTATTAGCAGATACAGAAAAGGGCCTTATGAAGAATAGATTTTGAAACTACTGTATCCTTAATACCTACAACAGTATCTGGCACATAATAGGAGCTTTGTAACTATCTGTTGAACAAGTCAAAGTAGATATATTGAAACAAGACTGTACGTCTGCCTTTTACCACCATGAGTAACCCGGTTAATGAAAATCAGTAGTAGTTGGTGGTAATTAGGGATGAATGAAATACTATATTTTCACTTTTATTAATTTAAAGACATAGTATATAGGGACAAATAAGAGTATCCATCATGTTTATGTTTTTTAATATGATGTTGGGGATCAAATCTAGGACCTCAAGTGTGGTAAGCCTGCTCTCTAGCACCAAGTCCCTCCCCTGTAACTCCCATGTTTTTTGTTGTTATTTGGTTGTTTGGTTGATTCATTTTTTTGAGGTCCTGGGGATCAAATCCATGGCCCTGTGCATACTAAGCAAGCTCTCTACCACTTAACTATATCCCAAGTTCCTATCATGATTATTTTTTTAAAGGTTTGTGTTTATTTTCTTATTCACCCTTAAACACATAAACTGAGCTGAGCTAACACATTCAGGTTAAGTTGATAATTGGTTTATTTAATTTGTTTTTACTAAAGTCTACATTCAGATTTCCTTTGTTTTCCCCTAATGTCACCACTAATTTGGTGGCATTTGTCCTGAGGTTTCTCCTGGCTGTGATAATTTCTCACATTTCATGACCTTGATCAGAAGACCAGGCAGGTATTCTGTAAGACATTATTCAGTTCAGGTTGGTGTGATTAGTGTCATTTGTTTCTCAGGGTTACTTTGGGATGGTGGGATCTTGGAGGATGTCACACAGGTGAAGTATCCTTCTTGTACCATCCTATCAAGGACATGTTATTTCTGAGTCACAGCAAACACCTTACCTAACACCTGTCAAATTGACAGGCACTCCCTGAAGAAAGTTTAGTTGCCAGATGTGTGAGTGTACTTTAGAATGGACACATCTGCATCCTTGGCACTCATTCTTGGTTTTATTTAGGTTTTACATGGAGACTGTAATGCTTTTGTTTGGAAGTTCACCTCCTTAAACAAATATCTGTGACTTAATATTTTCACTTGAGATTGTCAGGCCATTTATTTCCTTCCAAAGGTAATTCTGGCTCACCATCCAGAGCACTCAAAGTTTCACCTGTGTTCTGGAATCTGAACTATTAGTTACTTCCTCTCAAAACTATGGTCTGGCAACCAACTCCTTTCCAAAAGAACTCTTCATTCTAGTCTCAACAGATTACTAACAACCATAAGACTTTCTCACTCCCTTTAGAAACAATGTTCATTTTCTACTTCAAAGCATGCTATCTCCTGGTATTCAGTAAACTGTTTCATGCTTCTTTCCACACAGAGTAACTCAGAAGGAAGGACTCTGTTCCACCTTTTGCTTTCCTCACCAGTAAAGCTGGTATTTGGTGGCCTATCTGCCCAGTGGGCACACTTTTGGGTTTGTTTTCAAGTCTGCTTTTCCGTCACACTGAAGATCACATGTATTCAGGTGGTTCAAGGCTAAACCAGAGATGACTCAATCAAGGACTCCAGAGCAGAAGCCACTGGAAAGAAGAGACTTTTGTTTGACTCTGAAAACAGAGGCCTCTTTGGCCTGTCTAAACAGCCTGCTGGTCCATGGCACTCCTCTTACTTCTGCACTGGCGTCGCCACTGCAGAGCTGAAAATCTTCAGGTCTTGCCTTCCCAGGCACATCCCAGGCCGTGGACCATGGTAAAGGCAGGCCCTGATCTCCAACCACCTCGGGGATCATATAAAATCTCCCTGGTAGCGGGTGGGTGCGGGCCACCGGGAAGCTTGGACTCCAGCCAGGGCATGGTCAGTCGGCTGCAAGGCAGCAGGGGTGGGGGTGGGGGGTTAAAAGGGTCTGGTAACAAGAAGAGAAGTCATCCGGAGAACCCCTATAAAAGTGAACGAGGTCTCTCCGGTCGCTAGAAAAAGAAAGAAACGGTGGCGGCAGCAAAACTACAGAGTCTCCGTATGCACCTGTGATTGCCGGGCAGTTTAGCGAGCTGCAGGAGGACCTAGACGCTGTGGCGGAGGAGACGCTTCCCAGGTACCAACCCCACAATAGGGCCGCGCCCATGCCCGCGCTTTGGGTGGGCGGGAGTCTCCAGCCCTCCCAGGCTCGCCTCCGGCTCAGGTGCAGAAGCCAGGCTGAGCCACCACCTGAACGCCGCCAAACTGCACGACCCCCACCCACGCCCGGCCGCGTTCCCCGCCCCCCTCCAACCCACAGCACGGCCCACAGCCCTCCCTACCTCGGCGTTTCGCGCGCACAATGCCCTTTTTTTGCAGCACAAACGTGGACCCGTTCACCAGGCTTGACACGACGGCCACGCCCAGGCCGAGCGACACCGCGGCGGGGCTCGGGCTGCGCGCCCCCTCCCCGGCCGCCGCCGCCGCTGCCGCCGCTGCAGTCCCCATTCCGCCCGCGCCTGCGCCTGCGCGCCGCGCCCAACGGGGCCGGGTTGCGGGGGGGTGGGGGGGTACGGGGATCCGCGGCGTTCGGGGGCGGGGGTGACGAGGATCAGCGAAATTGGGCAGGGGCGGGGCCAAGGGTCCTCGGGCTCGGGCGGGAAACCCGCACTCTGTGGGAGGATGGAGTGGCGCAAGCCTAGAGCTAATTAAGTTGAAGATGGGGGTTCTGTGGGCTGGGGGTGGGATAGGGAACCCTAGGCACAGCGGGGTTGGGCTAAGGGCTTAGGCTGCACGGAGGTTAAGAAGAGCGGGTGGGGCCGGAGTCCCGGAGTCTCGGGCGGGTGGGGGGGAAACAGGCTGGGTGGAAAGAGGAGAGAAAGGTGGATGGGAATGCAGTGAGGAGGGGGTTAAGAGACCGGGCTGTATGTGGGTGGCGGGGAGGTGAGGTTCCCAAGTTTGGGAAATAAAAATACAGGACGTCCAGTTAAGTTTGCATCTTCGATAAACAGCAAATAATTTGTTAAGAGTGTGTTCCATGCGGTATCTGGGACGGGAAGAGCGGCAGTGGAACGCAGCCCTCGCAAGCATCACTGCCCCCCAGACCTCCAGTTGGAGAGACACAAATGAGCTGTATAAACTCAAATGGGATCGCCCCACCCCAATGTGGTGAATTCCTTACTCTCTGAAGTCAGCTATTTTCACTTTGCAGCAGTGAGCTTGTGATCATACTGTTTAATTTTCTTCATTTAAATTTTTAAAAAGTTCATCGAAAATCTAGATAACTTAGAAAATAGGAAAAGTTATTTTAAACTTACTCAGTCCACAACACTCACGTAATTATTACTTTAGGTGTTTTCCCACACGCATACATACTTTTACACGATGCAACACACAAAATTTCTCTTCTATTTAATATTATAATCAAGTTTTCATATTGCTACATAATTATGATTGTTTTAATGATGGCATGATTTCCATAAATGAATTAATCTGTCTAATCAGATATTGTTGGTTGGTAGGTTTTCTACTTCTATTATAAATACTATAATGAGCATCTTTTTAAATTTTTAAAGTACCAGGTTAAAGAATCTAAACCTTTTTTGCAACTCTATGGCATTGTTTTGTGAAGCAATATAAAATCATACTGTTTATGAAAACTTTTATACTGAATGAATGTATCCATTAGTTGTTTTTTCCCCCTTTAATAATGTTTTATTTGGAGACAAGAGTCTTGCTAAATTGGCCATGATGGTCTCAAACTTAATGCTCCTGCCTCAGCCTCCAGAGTCACTGGAATTATAAGTATGCACCATGGTGCCCAGTTCATTGCTTCTTTTTTAAAATTTTGATAATATATAAGTAAAACCAAATTTGCCATTTTAACCATTTTTAAATGTACAGTTCAGTGGCATTAGTTATATCACATTGTTCTGTAACCACCTCTAACCTCTTTCAAAATTTTTCCATCACCCCCAAACACAAACTCTGTAGGACTCACTCCCAAGGCCCCTTCACCCTAGTCCAAGGTAATAATGTCTAATCTTCTGTCTCTACAAATTTGCCTGTTGTTGGCATTCCATGTAAGTGGAGTCATAGGACAATTTGTGACTGGCTTATTTCACTTAGCTTATTTCAGGATTCATTCATGTTGTAGCATGTATCAGAATTTCATTCTCCTTTATGATTAATGTTCCATCATATGAATATGCAACATTTTGTTTATTCATTCATCTGTTAATGTATTTGTGTTGCTTCCACCTTTTGCCTATTATAAATAATGCTGCAATGGACATTGGAATGAAAGTAAGTTTGAGTCTTTATTTAAATTCTGTTGGGTATATATACCTAGAAGTAGAATTGCTGAGTCATATGATAATCCTATGTTTAGATTTGACAAACTGCCAAACTCTTCCACAGCAGCTGCACTATTTTACATCCCCACTAGCAAGGTAGAGGGTGCCAATTTATCCACATTCTCACCGAAACTTATTGTTCTCTGGTTTAAAAAGAAAAATTGTCATCCTAGTAGGCTATTTAAAGTAGGTATGAAGAAGTTGCTTATTCTGTCCCCCCCACCCCTGCAATGCTGGGTATCAAACTTAGAGTCTTTCTCATGCAAGGCAAATGTTCTGCCTTTGAGGTACAGCTTCAGCCCCTGCTTATTCTTAGCCTCCTCCATTTTAGTACTGGGGATTGAATCCAGGGGTGCTTACCACTGGACTACATCCCCAGACCTTTTTTATTTTTATTTTGAGGCAGAGTCTTGCTAGGTTGCTAGGGCCCCGCTAAATTGATGAGGGTGGACTTGTACTTGAAATCCTCCTGCCTTGGCCTCCCAGGTCTCTGGGATTATAGGTGTGTGCACCATTGTTCCTGACTTTGCTTATTCTTTTAAAATATACTTTTCAATATAGTGTTTCATATATATATATATATATATATGTATATATATATATATTATATATATTTATTTTTTAGTTATAGGTGGACACATGTCTTTATTTTTACTTTATGTGGTGCTGAGGATTGAACCCAGCATCTCATGCATGCCAGGTGAGTGCTCTACGCTGAGCAACAACCCCAGTCCCATAAATAGTATTTCTTAGTAAACAATAACTTCTATTACTAATTCAAGAGAAGAAGTGAAAGCAGCAGCAACAGCACTGCCAAAATAATAAAATTATTTAATTTACTAATTACTGCTAATGCAGAAAAACTGACTTCAACACTTTTGGCAAAAAGACACATGCCCATTATATTTATTTGTTTATTTATTTTTTTGGTACATTCAACCAGAAAGCAATACCTGCATCCCCCTACTATTACTTTTTTTTTTTTTTTTGCTGGAAAATTTTTAATTTTTATTTGGTCCAATGCTTGTGAGGGGTTCCATGGTGGTTAAAAGCTGCCTAGGTGTTAGAGGGAGAGACTCAGGCCAAAGCCCTGATGCCAGGAGATACAAAGGAGCTCCACCAAGGGCCACTGCGCTCTGGGACCTCTAGTAGTGCTCGAGAGTGAATCTTTCAGAGATACCCCTCCAGGCCAGCCTGGGGGTTCGCCAGAGATTAGTCAAGTGGTCCCCCATCTTCTTGATGAGCTTCACTTCTTCATCAAGGAAGCGTTCTCTGGAAAGTCATGGAGATGTGGGTCTGTACATGTAGAACCTAAGGCATAAAGATCCAAAATGGCTTGGTTCAGGTTCTTTTCCAGGGCTAAGGCAGCTTCTGTGGCATTCAAGGTATTTCCCCACTCATCTTGAGAAGGTTTCTGAACATCCTGAAATAACTTTTCCTCAGCCAGCTCATGGAAGAAGTGGCCCACACTCTCCAGAGCCCACCTCATCACGGTGGAAATAGTAACCCAGAAAGAGGTAGGTATAGGAGGTACACAGATGCAAATTGACCAGCTGATTGACAGCAGCCTCCACCTGGAATAATTCTGATGAATCTGGGAGGTGGAATAATGGTGGAATAATTCTGATGATCTGGGAGGTCATGACTGGTCGTCAAGAAGGAGCTAACCACAAAAAATAGAGTTGGCTGGTCCTGGAAGCAGGAGATGGGTGAGAAGATGGTCCCAGAAATTGCAAATGGAGATCAGATTGGAAGGCTGTTGGAAGCTGGGAGAAAAGGTCTATTCCATCTAAACACTGTTGAAGCAAGAGACAGATCTGTGGGAGCTCTAGGTGTGTTGGTTCCCATTATTTCTTAATTCAATAAATTTAATGAATGTCAAAACAAAAACAAAAACAACTATAACATCACCCCAGTTCCATTACCCCAAAATAACTTCTATTAAGAAATCCACTCAGACATTTTTCCATGTGTGTATCTGGTAAAAGGATAGACATATTTTATCAAATGGAAAGGCACAAACAGTATGTTAGTTAGAAAGATTAAACTTTATTGTATGGGCTGGAATGTAGCTAGCTCAGTGGTAAAGCATTTGCCTAGCATGTGCCAAGCCCTGGATTCCATCCTCAGCACCACGAAGACAAATCAAATGAACAACAACAACAAAAAACCCTTATCTGAATTTTTTTTAATGTTTAAATGTATATTTTTATTACATATATTTATATATTTTTATTATAATATATTACATAGCTATTAACAGGTGACAACTTTACTGGAAAACAATTGGCAACACATTATCAGTTCACTTAACTGGACTCTACCTAGTTTTTAGATTTATTAGCACTCAGAAAGCTCTCTACAAAGTACACTGGCAGGGTCTCTCTACATTCTGAACCCCTGATGCTTCTTTAGGATGCTTCTCTCAAATTCACCGAAGCACTACTGTTTTGTCAAAGGAATTTGTTTTCCCTAAACTTAACTCATTTTAGTTATTAATAAATTAAAAATTGTTTTCCCTAAACTTAACTCATTATTGTTATTAATAAATTAAAAATTAGTAATACATCACAATTTATGTTATATATTATAATTATACAATACATAACAAATAACAATTATATAATATGATCAGATGAAAAGTAGTTAATAACAATTATATATGAACATTTTTTGTTTATGTTTAACATTAATTATATATGAACATTTTTTCATATATTTTTTAACCATTCTTATTTCTTCTTCTGTGAAGTGCATGTTCAGTTCCTATGTCCATTTGTTGATTGGGTTATTTGGGGGGTTTTTTGTTGTTTGTTTAGTTTTTATATAACCTGGAGATTAATGGTCTATCTGAGGTGCAGGTATTAAAAGTAAATAATAACTAATTATATAATATGATCAGATTTATTTTCTCAATGAAAACTAAGTTGTTTGAGAAGAATCAATAAATAAAATTTTAAAAAAATAAAGGTGGAAGAAGAAAAAATGCTATCAGATATGGGTGAGTCAAATTCAAAAAAAATTTTTTAAATCTTGAAGAAAACTGCTTTTCAAGTGCTCTAAGTTCTCTCATTTTAAACAAATTGAAGCTAAAATCAGGAGTGACTCATCTCTATATGAAAGAAAATGGCTTAGAACTCTAATCAGTACAAT